CCCACGCCAGCGAAAAAAAAGGTCACCAAGGGAAAACAGGCAGGCCGAGGGGGGTCCCACGTACGGGTCACCCCCCAGCCCCTTCCAGGAGAAGGGGGTGCCCCCCCCGGGGAATAGGACCCAACCCTAAACCGCTGCGTCGCCGGCCCCCCCAAAATCTCCACCTGCACCTGGCCCTACCTCTCCACCCTCCGTACCACCCCCCCCCCTCACGTCCCCTTAGCTCGCCTCTCCGATTTGTTAAACTACCTCTCAACCCCCGATCTATCCCACATTTGGGTATTACTAGACATCAAAACAGACGACGACCCCAACCTCACACTTATACCCTCCATCGCAGCCACTATCGCCTCGAACCCACCGCCAGAAGGAGCCTCCTGGACGTGGCAGGAGAGGATTGTGCTTGGGGGGTGGAATGAGAATTACTTGAGCGCGTTGGGGGAGGAGCTCCCTGGTTTCAGGAGGGCGTATATTGGCTTCTCGCTGCTGTATGCAAAGAGGTTTTTGGACGATGAGAAATGGGCGGGGGTGCAGTTTAATCTGTTGCAGCAGGCGGTTGTGGGGCCGGTTGGGAGGGGATTTGTGCAGAGGGTGAGAAGGGCGAGGACAGAGAGGAGGTTGTGGGTCTGGACGGTGAATGATGAACGGTGGATGAGGTGGGCGTGGAGGAAGGGGGTGGATGGGGTTGTGACGGATGAGGTTGGGTTGTTGAAGAGGGTGCTGGATGGGGATGAGGACAGGGGGAGGGGGAAGGGGGTGACGGTGGGGATGTATATCAAGGCGGCGATGATACAGGCTTTGACGTTGGTTTTGGTGGTGGTTATATGGGGAAGGTTGAGGAAGGTGGGGAGGGTAATTGGGGGGGAGGTGAAGAGGGAGCAGGCGAAGGGGAAGAATTGATTTGAAAGGTGGTTTGTCAAGAGTTTGTGCTGGAAAGGGTGTCCATTCTGGGGGTGGGGCATATAACAAGGATACTTATCTGGGACCGGCGGGCTGGTTTCTTTGCGGGGGCCATCACAGCCCTATTGACCCGTAAACAGGGCGTGATGGATACGTTTGTTTCGAGATGGGAGGGTCAGGGAGTTTTATGAGGATAATTCAGTAGTCATAGCGTGCGGGAGCAGGGGATCGTGTGGGCGGTTATGGAGATTCGGGGTTGGGTGGGATTCCATTGATTAGTTATGATACGGAGCTGTACACAGCGAGTGTTTCCAGTCCTCCAACGTTGTTTTGTGTTGGAGGCCATCCTGATAGATGTAATCTTTAATCTCATCTATTGAACCATCAAGGTGTCTGAGCAGGGGCGAGTGACAGCATGCTGAAACTGAGCGGTGACTTAGACAGGCAGTGTTGGCAGCCTTGCTTCAAAGAAATAAGATGGAATGGTTTCAACAATGGTGTATAACAAACGCAAAAGGCGGACACTTTCCATTCGAGTCTCAGGTGTCCAAGGTTCAAGTAGAAAAGCGCAGCCATTCCTGCTACATTTTACCAGTGGACATCAAAAAGAAGCCATTCACGAACCCAGCCCCTATTTTGACCATCACTCGAATCTTGTAATATTCTCTAACTTAGTTTCCCAACATGAAACCGTTCTCCTTTTCGAGGGGTCCCAGAACGCAAACATGCATTGCGAAGTCTACGACCTCTGACGAGAAGCTGTGCGGGTTGCCTGCGGTGGAAGAGGGAAGTCTTTGCCGCAACCATAGATGGTAAGTCGCCGTATTGCAATCCCCGGATCGCTGCAGAAAGGCCTTGCTACTAACAACCTTCAGTGCCTTCAGGAGAACAGACAAGAATGTCGACGGTGGCCGTTGCGCTCGGGAGATCCCCTGGTACCGGTGTTATTGCAGAGCTCATCAGTACCAGGTGTACAAGAACATGCAAGTGAAGGATGAGCTGGATCGCGGTGCTCGAGCTCAGCAAGCAGACGAGGCCCCGGGTCGTACAGCTAAGCAAACGAACGACGAGCGTAATCGCATATTCACCCCCCTGAAAAGCCACTTAGATCGCATATTTTCCCCCTTAGAAATCCACTTAACGGACGAGGAGCGAATGCGGGGATTTCGCTCGCAAATCTTGGGGGGCTGGAATCGCCCAGCTCAGGGTCAACAAACTCATGAGGGGCTGAGAGAAGTTTGCCTCCGCTGTTTCTTGGACAAGGCCCTCGATATATCCATCACAGGGGCCCCGCACCTTATCCTTCCTTGATCACGACTGTGGTCAGCACTGTGAGAGAACTGGCAAGAATCAAGTGATATTTCCTCGTGCGCAGAAAAAGAGGCAGTCAGTCAGAACCCGGTGGTCGAGAAGCCCGTTATGGGAGCCGGTATTGTCTGGAGCATGACAACAGGTCGACATACAGTCTGTAGGGGCGAGTAAGAAGCAGCAACAAGTCGACCTTATCTTGTACATAGAATATAGCTGGACGCTGAGCTGGGTGGGATCGGAAATGAGAACAGTTGATAGAGCCAGCAGAAACCAGGTCTTGTTGAGATATCCTCATGGAATGTATACATGCAGTACGGATGTTGGCACCTGATGAGAGCGACACGCAATGAATGGGCCATGACTGGAATATAGAGGATAAATCGCTAGTTAATATCCAGAGATTGTACGCTGCCGCTGAACAGAATCACACAGCTCAGGTCAAGACCGGCTATTGTAGTCCAGACAATTCCGCGCACCTGATGGATGGCTCCAGTGCATGCTGCTGCTAGGTATGACAGGTATCAGTTATGGCCAGGCTCGATGCAAACAACTTCAATCACCATTTTCAACTCAACCACGATCATGAGCTCAAGTCTCACCAGCCACAATCACACATGTATAAATAGATCGTCACATCGCAGTTCGGACGAATTCCAGAACCCGGCCCGCCAGCTCCCGCTGCAGCGCCTTCCCGCACCGCCCCACTCCAAATCCCCCCTAAAAGAGCTTATCTCCGGGTGACGAGCCAAGGCGGCGGGCTGCTGACGTAGCTGGCCACAGCGGTTCTTCATCTCAGGTGCCGACAGCCTTCATGAGACACCTCGGATTTTGGAACCCGCATCCGGCCGCGTCACTTCTGTTTTAATACAAAACAACAACGATCTGTCATTTTGCTTTATTTGCTTGATATCGCTCTCTTGTCCTTTTTTTGTTGCAGATCGACCTTGAATTTCTGATAATAGCTCCAAGCCATGGACGAGTACTCGGGCGGAACACCGGAAGCTGACCATCTCTGCGTCTTGGTCCACGGGGTATGTCATGTCAATGGCGCATTAGCCTCAAGTCAAATCAGCTGCTAATTTTTGTTGCGCAGCTATGGGGAAACCCAAACCACATGAAAAACGTCGCCAAAGCCCTTCGCGATCAATTTCCCCCAAATAAGCTGCGTATCCTCGTCGCAAAGCGCAACAGCGGCTCCTTTACCTACGATGGGATCGAACTCGGTGGCGAGCGCGTGTGTTTGGAGATCGAGGAGGAGCTGGCGTTGATCAAGAGCAAGGGTGGAAATATCAAGAAGATAAGCATCGCTGGCTACTCGTTAGGTGGACTTGTCGCAAGATATGCCATCGGGCTGCTTCATGCGCGGGGTGTTCTGGATGACCTCGAGTGCAAAGTATGATGGCCAGCCACCTCGATTGATGCAACCGACCCAATGCTAACCTGATCCCTAGAATTTCACAGCTTTCGCGAGCCCTTTCCTGGGAGTACGAGCCCCTTTGCGAGGTTGGTCAGACAGGATATGGAACAGCCTGGGCGCACGAGCACTCTGCATGTCTGGGAGGCAACTCTTTGGCATTGACGAATTCCGTGACACGGGCAAGCCTCTTGTTGCTGTTCTCGCAGATCCAAAGTCGATCTTCATGGCCGGTCTGGCCCGATTTCAACGACGCACGCTCTACACCAACATTGTAAATGACAGAAGCGCCGTTCATTACACGACGGGGATCACGAAAACAGATCCATATGTGGACATGTCAAAAATCAAGACCAACCCTTTACCAGGCTACGACGGTGTCATTCTTGATCCAAAAAACCCAGTATCCCCCGCCGCGCCCAGAGACCCAGAACCGCTGATGCAATCAGTCGAGAAGTGGGCAAAGCGAGTCCCAATCATCGCGACAATAGTTGTCTTCGTCCCCGTTGCGCTGCTAGCCTTCTTCACCAACGCCGCCATCCAAACAGTCCGCTCGTCTCAGCGTGTAAAACTCCACGAGAGTGGAATGGCTGGTATCAAAATAGAAGGCTACAGAGTCAACCTCTGGATCAAGGAAATGCGCGAAGCTGTCGAGGACACCTACGAGAACATCAATAACTCGCAAAATCAACAATACTTGGGACTGTCGGAGGATGACGATGACAACAGCTCGGAAGATAGGCACCTGCTTTCGCTGGAGAGGAAACAGTCGCACCCGTATTTCCCTACGTTGGCGCTGGCACCGTATCAGTTTTCTGCTATTCAGGCGTTGGATAAGCTTGGGTGGAGAAAATATCCGGTTTGGATACACAATGCGAGGCATAGTCATGCGGCGATCATTGTGAGGATGGATAAGAAGGGGTTTGAGGAGGGGTGGGTTGTTTTGAGGCATTGGGCGAGGGATGAATTTTTGGCTTGAGGAGAGAATACCCAGGTGGAATTTTGAATTGGTTTTTTTGTTTGGGATATTTAATGGTATAGATAGTGGGAGTTTGAGAGGTAGTATTGTTTTAGCGATGTTTGGAGAAAGGTTGGATATATATTACTTAGAGATTCTTTTGTTGGGTATGTTTTTTATTGTGTCATACCCATCAGTAGAAACACGCTTCTATTTTCTTGCATGCAAGTCTCTCAGCAATGATCGGGGTGGGTGGGGGGTGGGGGGTGGAAGGCTGTTTGCGCAGAAGGTTGTTGGGTTTGTTTATATGAGAGTGTTGTAAGTTGGCACAGATACCACTAAACTAAGAATAAATAATGATTGAAGATGTAATACAGTTTTGCTTGTGATGATGTTTGTCGAGGCTCAGATGAGGGCCTGACAATACAGAAGTCGATGCGATGAATCCTCGAGGAGTCGAGATGACGTTAATAATACAACAAGACGAACATCGGTCAGTCTCGGTTAGAGCACCTTTATAAGCATCTTTCTTATCTTGCAATAAAACGAACCGCTTTAGTAACCCACCACTAAAGGAACGAATCACGGCGTTATCCCTGAGAAGCTGTCTCAAGGAAGAAATCTGGCCCTCCTCTAACACCCCAAGCATGCATCCTCAGTCTCCTAAGCACGCATCAGCCATGGTCCAGAGCCAGACATACGAAATAAGAGGCGGACCCATGTTCTTCCATTCGGTTATTGCCATAAGTTAATCTGAGAGACAGAACCGGACAAAGTAAGCTTCGGTGTGCCTAGGGGCGGGTGAGCGAGAGACAGAAAGAAGTTTTCATTGAAATCCTCAACACCACTCCGCACTTCGCTAGGTAAGGTAACGCAGGGTGAATGTGTCTCTGGACAGGTTATCCTGTTTACCGACCGGTTTATCATATCGAGCACATGCAACCGCAGGTGGTGGGAATGAAGCGCAAGTGGTGATGAAAGTTGGAGTTGCTCCACTTATCTTTAGAGTTTGATAAAGTCGACGTCAAGTTGGGATGAAGACGATATCGGTCGGAGTTGGGGGATAAAGGTGAGAAAATATGGGGAAGGGGGATGATAAGTGAATATATGGGATGTTGCCCCCGAGGACGTCTCATGACTACCCTAACCCCCTTGACGTTGGTGGTCGCTTCCAAATTACTGACAAGACAAGGGAAGTACTCGGTTTGAGTTTTTTAAGGGTTATCTTAGTTCGAGAATATCAGTCTCTATAACTAGAAATAATAGATTTGGAGGAATGAGAGATTAAAGTAAATACTTGTAAAGATGAAAAGTGTTGAGAGGAGGGATTTTGATTTAGGGGGTTATATACATTGCGACATCTTCTAGACAGGATCAACACGAAGTCCTCCATACCAAAAAGTGTTCCCAATTTGGATAATTAACGCAACAGTGAAGGATTACTGAAGAGGATTGGCCAACATTTTGTTTTCTCTCACCATTCAGTCTCCCCCAGAATCACTCGAGCAACTGGTCTTATCTTACATAAGTATCAATAAAAAAATCACTAGCTTATGCAGCTTGTGCGACGCTGCCCTGACCAGCGCACACCACCTGCCGCATAGCATTGCGCTGTTGTCGCATCGAAATCGTGAACTCAACCCCACTCCCCCACCCAGTAAGATTCCCGCTGTTGCAGATCGCCACGTGGGCTTAACGCTAGACCTCTCTGGCACTAGCGCCAGCAAACACTCCGAACCCAACAGCTTGGTGCAGATTTGCGCCACTTTTTCTCGGCCAATCAGAAAACAGCCAAGAAGCACAAGAGCTCCCTCAATTTAACAACCTCAACGCGTCTCCAATTCACCGTTGTGGCTGCAGCTTGTTCACGGCTTCAACTTGGCAACCAAACCACCACCACCACCACCAACAACAACAACAACAACAACAACAGTTGTAAAAATGAGGACGTCGCGCGTGGCTAGGGAGACCACACGGCTCTTTGAGACTGCGGCCTCGACTTCAACACCGCTCCGGCGATCATCCAGAACCTCGACTTTGGCCGCGCGATTCTCTTACAATACCAACGCCAGCCCCAGCGCAGCTATGACAAAGGTCGAAGAAAGCGACGTCGAAGTCGACGATGACGTCAAACTATCCCTTGGTTCAGATATTGAAGATGCGATCACGACAACCAGGGCGGCCAAGCGCCGGCGCACCGCGACCACCGCAGTCACCACACAAACCATCAACTCTTCGCCTCACCGGCGAACCACCAGAGTAAAGGCAGAGCGCACGGCTGTCAAATCTGAAGCCGGCTCCGATTCCGACTTTCTCTCTTCCCTCTCCGACAACGAGGACATCAAGACCGCCATCAAGGAAGAGTCCAAGGCCGTCGTGCCCCGCGGCCGCGCTCGAAAACCAGCCCGCCGAGTCACCTCCCCGTCCGGCACGACCACCATAACCCCACCTTCCGATTGGGAGGAGGTTTACAATCTCGTCAAAGAGATGCGTATCAACGGCCCAGCCGCCAATGCCGCGGTTGATACAATGGGCTGTGAGCGCCTTGCCGACCCCTCCTCTACAGTCAAAGACCGCCGCTTTCACACACTTGTTGCGTTGATGCTTTCCTCCCAAACCAAGGATACCGTCAATGCTGAAGCGATGAAGCGTCTTCATACCGAACTCCCGCCGTTCGAGCCTGGTGCACCAGCTGGTTTGAACCTCAATAACATGCTCCACTGCCCCCCTGCCGTTCTGAACGAGCTCATTGGCAAAGTCGGCTTTCACAATAACAAGACAAAGTACCTACTTCAAACGGCGCAGATTTTGAAGGACAAGTTCAACGGGGATATCCCGCCTACGATTGAGGGGTTGGTGTCACTGCCAGGTGTAGGGCCCAAGATGGCGCACTTGTGCATGAGTGCCGAGAATGGATGGAACAGAGTGGAGGGCATTGGTGTTGATGTTCACGTTCACCGGATCACGAACTACTGGGGGTGGAATGGACCTAAAGAGACTAAGACACCAGAGGAGACGAGAATGGCGCTGCAGAGCTGGTTGCCCAAGGACAAGTGGAAGGAGATCAACTGGTTGTTGGTTGGACTAGGGCAGAGTGTCTGCTTGCCCGTTGGGAGAAGATGTGGAGACTGTGAGGTTGGATTGAAGGGGCTGTGCAAGGCGGCGGATAGGAAGAAGGTGAACGAGGGAAAGAAGAGAAGGGAGGGGGTAAGGAAGGAGGAGGAGTTGGTTGAGAAGATTGAGATCAAGGGGGATGATGAGGGTGGAACGGCGGCTAAGAGAGAGCAGCAAAGGGTGGTCAAAATGGAGGTTGTGGATGAGGGGATGCCCCCGCCGCCGAGCGATACCCAACCCGAGCCGACGCCACAACCTGATCCCGAGTCGAACGTTGCCATCCCCTCCGTCGAGCAGGACGTTAAGCCCATCATCAAGGATGAAGAGGATGTTGAGATGGCGCGCAGCGTACCTGTCAAAACTGACGGCGATGATCTCGATGAGGACATGGTCAAGAAAGAGGAGGAGGATGCCGTCAGAATCAATCAGTCGAGCCACCAACCCGAGGACGTCGAAATGAGCGATAGCCCCGAGGTCAAAGTGGGGATCAAGCCCGAGCCCCGAAGACGTCGTCGTATCCCCGCTGCGATCCCCTCCCGAGGCCAATCTGAAGACCCCCCATTGGAGGAATCCGATGCCGAAGTCAAGGTCGAGGTAAAGCCCGAACTCCTCACACGCCGAGTCCGCATCCCGGCTCACATACCTTCTAGCCACGAGCCCGAGGTCAAGGTCGAAGTCAAGACTGACTTTGACAGAAGAGTCCGCATTCCGGCTCGTGTTCCCGCTGGGAATGAGTGTGACGATGAGGAGGCCGAGGTCAAAACCGAGATTAAGCCTGAACCGTTTCCCCGACGAGCTCGCATCCCTGCCCATATCCCAGAGCGGGAATCATCGCCCGAGGTTAAAGTTGAGGTGAAGACGGAACCTACTCGAAGACGGGCTAGGATTCCGGCGCGTGTTTCTGGGAGAAGTGAGGAGGTGAAGGGCGAACCGGATGTTAAAGAGGAGGATTCTTAGTATGAGTCTGACTATGACTTTCGGTTTGCCTCTAGCCCCGACTTGGACTCTGATGAAGATGGGGATGAGCAAAAGCCGGTCATCAAAGATGAGGATCTCGGCTTCGATGACGATGAGCAGAAGCCAGTCATCAAGGATGAGAATACCGACTCGGGCTACGTCTTTGCCGCTCACTTTGAAGAAGAGTTGCCCTCTGTCAAAGATGAGGACTCTGACTCGGGCTATGGATTTGGCTCGCTTGATGATGAGATCAGTTCAATTAAGGACGAAGACTCTGGTTTCGACGATGGTTTCGACCCACTCTCTGATGAAGATGTGGTTTCCATCAAGGAAGACTGCGATTACGATTCTGATTTTGAGATTGGGGAGGTGTTTAGAGCTGATGCCCTTGCGTCTGACCATGGTTCTGATGATGAGATAATGGAGGAAGGCTCCGACTACGACGACCTAATGGATGCCTCGGACGACAGCGAGATAAAATTAGAAGACTCCGACGACGACGACGAGATTAAGGAGGAGGGATCCGGCCGCGAGATTAAGGCTGAGGACTCTGACGACGACGAGATAAAGGAGGAAGAGTCTGACAACAACAACAACAACAACAACAACAACAACAACAACAACAACAACAACAACAACAACAACAACACCACCAACAACGCCCCATCTATCAAGGAAGAATACGACTGCAGCTCCGACTACGGAAACGAGCGGTCTTTCAGAGCGGATGGTCTTGCTTCCGACTACAGCTCTAGCTCTGACGAGGAGGATATCAAGTCGGAGTATTCTTCTGACCACGGATTAGACCGAGAAGACGACCTCGTCGACGATCACATTGAAGATGATGGAAACTTCCCAGATCCACCCAACGCGACTGGCTCCCAGTCTAACTCTGCCGATGCCGAAGATGAACACGAACGTACCGTCTTTGAGAATTTAACTGCCAGCGAAGAGAAGGTTCATGGGTTACCCTTCTCATACCATAACCATCAGTTGACCGTGGCGGCCGCAGCCAGGGATCGTTACGATTTTCTCGGGTCATTCCCAGGGTATCACGAGTTGGACGCGGCGACCTCGGTGAGGATTCGGGGAGACTTGCCCAGATTTCCGTTCTTGGACGGACATGGCGAGCGGCCTCTGTGTGCTGAGGATGATGGGTTGTGGGACGTGCTTGCCGGGGAGGAGGATGACTGGCGGTTTGAGCAGGATGGTTTAATGGGGGGTGATGTGCTTGATGACTCTGTTTGGGATGAGTTTGGTGGGGAGGATGAGGTGGGGAGGTATGAGGAGGAGTATTTGGGGGTGCAGATGGTTGGGGAGTTCGAGGGGATTTATGTTGAGGATGGGGTCACGGATGCGTTTGGGCTGGGGTGTGAGGGTGGGGAGGGGGATTTTGAGGATGAGGAAGATGAGATTTATTGATTTGTTGTTTGCGAGTTTGTAATATACTGGGGGTAGTCGTGATTTTAAGCGGTTGGGTGTAAATCACGAAATACCAAACACAAACCCACTACCCTCGGCATTCAAGAATGGGATACTGTAAATCACTGTCACTGATACTACCGTATCACACAGTTTCGCTTCTAGAAAATAGATTCCACATGCTAGTGATTATTCAAAACGGTAATGAACTATCGATCTTGCCGAGTAGTCCTGGATATGGCTTACCCCCGGTATCCCCCACCCAAACTTCCTCCCCCTATCTCTCTTCACCGAATCTGACCCGGCAGATAAATAACTCTGAGTTGCTGTTACTGTCGTTGCCTTGTCCCGGACCCACCAACAAGCGGTGTTTATTGTCACCAATCTCGTGTGCAAACAGATACTCGCAAAAACTGTTTACCGTCTGCGAACGCCATGCTTCGGCTTGCTGTGCGTGGATCCCGGGCAGCCAGCGAGATCTGACCTCCTGCTAACCATAACAGATGCTCGAGCGTCTCCGCGAATTTGACCATCGATTGAAGTGGTGGCAACGTCTTATGCCAGCTAAGCAGCTTGGGATGTCCTTTTTTGATAGCTACCATGGTGGGATCATGGGTCTGAAATTTCATGCTGTTTGCGGTTGGTTGGGAAAGCTGGAAGGAAATGACAACGCTGGGTTTGATGGAAAAGGCATTCGAGACTGCTACCGTAAACGGGACCTGACCTCTGACAAAGCGGGCGGTCGGCCGGCTTTCGAACGGTCGTCATCGTGGGCGCAAGAGCGACATGGTGTCCGGTGCCACTCTGATCTTCCCTTGGGATCGGTGAGCAGATCAGTGAAGGGGGGGAATTCCGAGTATTCTGTTGCGAGCCTTGGCCGCCGCTCTCGCGCCTGCGCGCGCAGGCGAAGCTGTCGTCAACCCCTAATAAGAGTTTGATTAGTCACTGGGAAGATGATGCACCAAAAAGTTGTTCTAATCGACAAGTTTGATATCATAAAGAGACAGCAAAGCTGGGAGGAATGTGATCATATTACTCGGTATTCTCAAAGTTTATAACAGTACCCCTGGTCCAGTTTACAGCAGGATATCCTTAAATTGATATAGTCTTCGAAGCCCGAGAAGCTTGTTATAAATCATAGACCAAACACTTCTTCATCCGTAACCACAACAGAGGCCTGCACACATAGTCATCACCAAGCAACAACAACAACAAACTACCAAAATCTGGATCTTGTTTGTTGTCAAAATCCAAATATGACTTTCATCTAGGGTCCACGACATCCTCACCCCAGTGGATAACTCCCCCCCGACCCACCAGCCCAATCGCCATTGTGACCTCCATGATACGATACCCCAGCTTTTAGTTCCGCATACCCTACATGCGTGGGCCGGTGGGTCACCCAACTACCTATCTAGGCTGACGCTTGCTTGCTTGCGTGGTCATTCCAGGAAAAAAAGAGAGTCATGTTTCCGCAGATACGATATCGGAGCTATTCGGAAAGACGACATCGTGCTCTGTCGTCAACTTGTCGTCATTAGCAACCCTCCAATTTCGTCACCCATGGCGAAAAAGCCACCAACACTATTGAGCATCTAGTTTGTTTTGTTTGCGAGTTTTTATTTTATTTGTTTGTTTGGTCAACTCGTCTTCCAAACGAGCCAACGTAAAAAAGGTGTACTTGTAAATGTCCATCCATCCATAGCCATGATTCTCAGCTGCACGCCACCTCTCGGCGCGGCTGCCAAACAAACCCATTTATCCCCCTCCTGTCTTGCGCCGTGACGCCTTGCCAAATTCCGGAAAAGTCAGAAAAAAAATTATGCTCGAGGAGTGGTTTCGTTTTTGCCGAAGAGCCGCCCTCTTGCCCCCATCTGAAATGGGGGCGATGTGAATCAGAGGTTGTAAGATATATACTGTGTGTGGCGTTGGGACGATATGCTTGGTGCAAGCCACGTCGAGTCTTGGGTATTCGCAAAGATGAACCTAGGTATCATCATCGCAAAAAAAAAAAAAAACAGACCAAGCTGATTTGGATCACTTTTTCCCTACTACCGGAAAAAAGGACCGGACGGCTTCGCTATGTGTGATGGACGATGGGCGCATGCTTGCTCGATAGATAACAAGGTCGCAAAGGAGGCGAAGAGAAGCGAGCCGAGTCACGACTGCACCATCGGCGGCATTGGACGAACAGGGATGGCCGATCGTCGGTGTCGTCGGGAAGAACAGCGAGAACGTTTATACACCCCTGATGACTTGGGTTCTTTCTTTGTTGAGCTGCATCGCGTTTTGCTCGAAGGCTTCCTTTTTGCACTGATTGGGGGAGAAGAAGAAGAGGTGTTAGCGAACATGTCTTCTTGTTCCGAGAGCACATCCGATAACCCCACGAGCCACCACTGAGATGGGTCGAAACTTACGTCCTCCAGGCCCTGGCACTTGTGGTCTTCTAGCAGACGGTGGTTGCTGCAATAGTGTCCGCCGCAGAAAGCGCAGTCGCCGGAAATGCGTTGGGCGACAGCCTTGCAGTCGGTGAGCGAGCATCTGACCTTCTTGGGCATGTTGGGCGGTGTTGATTATTGGTCGAGTGTGAATGATGCCAGTGTCGAATAATGAAAAAAGAAGAATCGAGGAGAGGAAAGCGGCTCGGAGGCGGAAAGAGGGAAGGGGGTGGCTGGTTTATAACAAGAGAGAGAGATGGCCTGTCAGACTTGTTGAACAACACACAGATCTCACGTGGTGAAAGTTCGCGAACCAGGGCAGGGGAATGGTGGCTAAACTAGCAGACAAGCGCAATTGGAAATAGTTGGAAACCGTTCGACTTGACCAGGCCGAGAACCAAGGACCAAGGACGGACCGTGGTGAATGGTGAGGCAGGCGGGCGGGCAGTGGGCAGCGGGCAGCGGGCAGCGAGTGAGCAGCGAGGTACAAGTGACTTGGCCGTCGATGACGGCAGGGGAGGCGAGGCCGGTCCCACCCAATGGATTATGGAAGGCAGGGCGGTGCTTGCGTGGTCGGGTCCGCCGTTTGTAATCCAAGAGATCCACCCACCTGTTCTCCGGAGTTTGATCGCAAGGAGCACAGTCGGAGTCGGTGATGGCAAAGCAACAAGTAAGTAGTCACTTGGTTCATGTCCATCACCACCTGTCGCAGACGGGATTTTCCTAGCGAGTGTTGCCTCTAGAGCGCCTAGGTGTTTGTCTAAGCGTGCTGAGCTGTTGATAAGCCCGAGAGAAGACGGTAGCCTCGACTCAAGACTTGTCCCGGCCCGGCGTGAGGTATCGGGTACCTGTGGGACCCTCAAGGTTCCTTGTGATGCAGTGGAACGTACCCGAGCTAGGCCCAAGCCAGCGCATCTCACAAAGACAGCCTCTTCCCCAAGACGTCTCTCTCTCGTCTCTCGATAAAGAAGGTCCGTCCACGCGCCAAATGGCCATGTCCATCGGCCACCGGGAATTGCCAGATCTTCCCTCCCTCGGCTGACAGGTTGGGACCATCATCTTCGTCTCCTTATCTTTCCGAGTGAGCACGGCGTTGCATCCCGCGGAACCAAGCAGCAACAACAACAAACAAGTATCTAAATGTCCAATATCTGAGGCCTCATGTCATGGCATATCGCCTCCCTGCTTGCATCTTGCATCCTGCCCCCAGCACCCGGCTATCGCCATGATCCCGGGTTGGGCAGCGGAATGAATCTCCAATGTCTCACGGCGCGCCGGGCTAGACCACGCAGCACTGCAGTAGCAGCTGCAGCCATCAACCACACACCCAAGGTCACACATGTCCTCTTGTTGTTGATGTTGTACATCTTTTGGGTTGGTAGAAGGCCCCTGCGGAAACCGGCCTGGTCACACATCCCGCCCGGAGTCCTGCTCTCGCGGGAACAAAACCTCACCGCCAACCACTCACCCACTCAACCCCATATTAGACCCGACCACAGCGTCAACCCCATTTCGAGCTTTTGCCTGCCGTTCTTTTGCCTCCTTTGGATCAGCGAATTTTCGATGCTCCCATGGTGACTCCAACACCAATAATCTAGTTCCAGGGCCCATCACACAACCCCAGCGAATGACCTCGCACCACGACAGAGCCTAGATTATGGGCTTCGGTTGCAACACCCCAAAACATAACATATGATCAGATATGCCTGTCAGCTCTTTTGATGTCCCCAAGCTCTCAACCTATCTTTTTTTCCTTGCAAAAGATCACCAGTCTCACACAGTCGTCCGTCTCACGCACACTATATCCCATTCTGGATTGTGGCCCCTCCCCTCTCCAAGGATCTCACAGGTCGGGTTGAACTCCGGCGTGCAGGATGCAAGGCCAATCATTTTAGTTTTTTGTTGTAACCAGCATTAACCCAACGGCCTTTTTTGGAGTCGTCCCTTCGGATAATCTACACCCGATCGCAACGACTCGACAGCGGGTAGACGAATCTGTGAACAACTCACATGCAGGTCTCACCTTTTTTTTTCTTTTTTCTGCCTCGTCCACCACGACGACGACGGTTGAGAACACAACAGCATCCCGGGTGTTTCTGTCTTCATGTAGGGGATATTTCACTGCTCATATTTCATCAAACCTCATGGGTTGGGTCTAGACCGTTGTATACCTACCATCCATATCAGATATCATCTTCTCAAAAGCTTACACAAAGGGCCTAGATTGATTTGCCCCATAACCAAGATTTCTTGATCGTCTTACAGAACTTAGATACGAAGCTACCTACCTAGCTGCAAGCCATCAATACGCCAAAATCTCTTCGGGCTTTCCCTCTCACCCAACTTTATGAGGGGCGGCCCCTCCTTCCGGAACGTTACACTACCTAGCCGGACCGGTAACTGTCAAACCGAGTCAGTCAGTCAGCCATGAGGCGAGCGGAAGCTCCTCCGTGATTAAACAAATAAGGGGTCCGTATTTTGTTGAGCAGCACACACCCACCCCCCCCCCCCCCCCCCCGGCGAAAAAAAAAAAAAGGTACCAAATCCGACAAACCCCAAGTCGTGTTGTTGCATACTTACTTCGTATCACGCACCACACCAAGACACAACGTTGGTGGCGGTGGTGTTGTTCCGTTGGCTCTCAAGACGAACTATTTGCTAAAGTCGAGAGTTCGTAATGATGTGCGTTGTTGATTACAAGTCTTTAGGGGTTATGCTCAACCAGAATACATACACAGCAACAACTTCATGTTAAACCAAAACTTTCTCTCCAAGCATCAAGTTTCCACTTACACCTCAGCGCCACTAAACAATAGTTCACTCACGGCACCACGTTCCCACTTACAACAACTTAATAACCTCTCTCACTCACAAACACAAAAATCCCAAGTTGTTTAATCATCTTTTTTTTCTTTCTTATTCTGCCCACAAAGTACGAGTACAAGCCAACGCGAACCATCTCTCTTATTCGTCCATAGTGACAACAGCACGAATGCAATCACCCTGCTTCATAACCTCAAACGCCTCGTTGATCTCGCCCAGCTTCTTGCGGTGGGTAATAAACTCATCCACCTTGAGCTTGCCATCAAGATAATCCTGCACCAGCCCAGGAAGTTGGGACCGGCCCTTGACACCGCCAAAGGCGCTACCCCTCCACACACGACCAGTGACAAGCTGGAACGCTATAGTTTTGAAAAACCACATGTTAGCCATCTAACATCTTGACCCAGTCCCACGGTCATGGGAAGTAGAAGACAGGGGAAAAAAAAAACGGAAAAAAAACTCACGTCTAGTAGCAATCTCCTGCCCCGCCGCCGCAACCCCAATAATGATACTCTGCCCCCACCCCTTATGACATGCCTCCAACGCCGCCCTCATCACATTCACATTCCCCGTGCAGTCAAACGTGTAGTCGCACCCCCCATCCGTAATCTCAATCAGCTTTTCCACCACGCTCTGCCCCTCGGGCAGCTTGGTCGGGTTCACAAAATCCGTCGCCCCAAACTTCCTCGACCACTCTTCCTTGCTCGGGTTCACATCCACAACAATAATCTTCCCCGCCTTGTTCGCCACCGCGCCCTGAATCACGCTCAAGCCCACACACCCCGCCCCAAAGATGGCAACCGAGCTCCCCTCCTCCACATTCGCCGTGATCCTCGCCGCACCGTAACCCGTCGTGATCCCGCACCCCAACAGGCACGTCCTATCCATCGGCGCATCCTGCTGCACCGCGACAACAGAGATGTCAGCCACGACGGTGTACTGCGAGAAAGTCGACGTCCCCATAAAGTGAAGGATATCCTGCCCCCGTGCCCTGAACCGGGAGGTCCCATCAGGCATGACACCTTTCCCTTGGGTGGCACGGATTTTGCCGCAGAGGTTGGTCTTGCCCGACTTGCAAAACTTGCACTCTTTGCACTCGGGCGTGTAGAGGGCCACGACATGGTCGCCCGGCTTGACGTTGGTGACGCCCTCGCCAACGGACTCGACGATGCCGGCGCCCTCGTGGCCGAGGATGACGGGGAAGGCGCCCTCGGGGTCTTTGCCTGAGAGGGTGTAGGCGTCTAAGGGGGCGTTTAGCGACCAACCCTGGTGAGGAAGAAGGAAGGGAACAACAAACCTGTGTGGCAGACACCGGTGTAGGCGATCTTGATTCTGACCTCGTGGGCCTTGGGCGGTGCGACTTCAACGTCCTCGTAGGAGAGCTCCTGGCCGGGGCCCCAGGCGATGGCCGCCTTGCAGGTGATGGTCTGGTGGCGGGGGTGGCATTGTCAGCGGTGTGCTCTCTTGGGAACAACAACAAACAACAACAACAACAACGATAACAACAACCGGGGTTATGAGTTGAAACCTTCATGGTTGAGCGTTGTCGACATGAAGCAAGGGGCTAGGTTGATGATGATGATGATGATGATGATGATGATGATGATGCGGGGTTATAAAGTGATGTCATTTACCTTGCCAGCTGTATCGGACATGTTGACTTGTGTGTGTCTCTTGATATCCTCGACTTTTTGTCTCCGGTTATGAAGATGAAGTGAGAGAGAGAGAAGGTCCAGACAAGAAAAGTTAAAATTAGGAGCTATAAGCCTCCTTTTGTTTGCCTGATTTCCGAATGGTTAATTGACGTCGGCCGTGTTCCCCCTTTGACCCCGCTTGTCGACGAAGGTGGGGTTATTTATCGCGCTGCGCTGTTATGGAGGGGAGGGGCGGGATTTGGATTACGGCAAGGAAACGAAGGGGATTTATCTCTTATTCTTATTCTTTTTTCGATATCAATGATCAATCATGACTGGATAGATCTTGTAGGTGTGTGATTCTTTTTTATCCTTGAGGAGCTTGGCTTATAGCAGGCTCGGTGATTTCACGGCATCTTTTGTATCTTTCACCTTTTATTTGGATTATCACTGCTACAGGAAAAGGTGACGGCTCGGCAGTTCTTTTCGTTTCTGTGCCATTGACTAATAGCAGTCAGTGGTGATGTCGTGATAAAGGCCTTCCGATATCAATCGGTGGAGTAGGTGGGTTTTGGTTTTTGACAGCAGAATATCTGTCAAATTGTATGGTGAGAAATTCCCAATTGGGAAAGATTATGGCATTCAACACAGAGTGGCCCTGTCTGAGTTGAATCTGCGTTGTTACTTGATGACATCTCTTTGGTGGTGTGGTGTTGCTAGCACCGGACCGGACCGCACTTCAATTCGCCGATTCGGAGGGGGCTTCATTTTCCCGCCAGGGGCAGCAACAGTTTACCGCGCTCGCACAACGCAAGTTCAAGGTGACGAAAGCACGGATGTAAAAAGTTCTTAACGCCGGGTTTTATCTTCGGCGTGTGACTCTTTTGCTCGCTGTCGAAGAAGATAGGTCTTCTGGGCGAGAATTCAACGGGCATATGGGCTGTTGTGAATCTTCAGAAACGAAGACGGATGGAATTTTCCGGGGCAAAGGGAACCCCCTGAGTTGATCGTGTGGACAACACGTACATATGCAAGGTGGGAAGATCACCGTTGCAGGGTTGGGTGACGCATGAAAATAGGCTGGATTGTGGTGAGGTTATGCTACCTTCTTTGGTTCTATGCTTGGTCGATGATGAATTGCAGCTTTGGCTTTGAGGCATAGGGTTGCGTTCGACCATCACAAGATCAAATGAGCCACACTTCTAAAGATACCTTCCCTTCCGGGCCATTTTGAAATCTTGAACTCAAACTTCATGGCTAAGGTACTTTTGAAGAGAAGTCCAGACTTCATGAACCTCTCCCACGTGTAATAAAGTGGACCCAGCTCACCTGTCACCATTCTCGCAGCTTACCACCAGCAGCTGCTTATCTCATCACCCCTCAACCTCACTTCACCACCTCACTTTTGGTCTCACTCAAACACAACCGAACAATTCAGACCCTCATTCTCAACATCCATTCAGCCCTACAACAGTAACAAACCCCCCAACACAGCAAAATGAGCGGCGAACCCCCCCCCTCCCCCCTCCCAAGCAAGATGTACAAGAGGGACGTGAACTGGGATTCCGTCTTTATGGCGATGTCATGAATGGTTCGAGTGGTCAGGCTCATGTGATA